AAACCGCTGCTCCTTCTGTCGCACTCTCCATGCTTCACCAAAACCCTCCCACCCTCCCTACCTCTGCCGACTCGGAAATCCCCGAGATTTCGCCCTCGTGTTGCCCAAACATATGGAACAAGCCTGAAAGAGGGGAGGATTTCACCATCTTGCAAGCCGTGTTCAGCAAAGATATGGCTCTTATTTGCTTAGCTACATTTTCTGGATGTGGCTCCTCTCTAGCCGCTATAGATAATCTAGGTCAAGTTGGGGAATCACTTGGCTACTCACAACGAGCCATAGGCATCCTTGTTTCATGGGTTTCCATATTCAATTTCTTCGGCCGAGTTTTCTCTGGCTTCATCTCAGAAACCCTCATGACCAAATACAAGTTACCTCGTCCTCTAACCTTTGCTTTTGCCTTTCTCATCACTTGCGTTGGCCAGCTTTTCATCGCCTACCCTTTCCCAGGCTCCCTCTACTTAGCTGCCATAATTATTGGGTTTGGATTTGGAGCTCAAAATCCAATGCTATTTGCCGTAATATCTGAGATGTTTGGTCTTAAACGTTACTCCACGCTCTTCAATTGTGGGCAATTGGCAGCCCCATTTGGGTCTTACATACTCAACGTGGATGTTGTCGGGAAGCTGTACGATATGGAAGCTTTACGTGAACGTAAGCAGATTGCGGGGAAGGGGTTAACTTGCACGGGAGCTCATTGCTTTGGTGGGTCTTTCACAGTATTGGCTGCAGCCACATTGTTTGGAGCCGTGGTTATGTTTGTGTTGGCTTACCAGACTCGAGAATTCTACAAAAGGGATGTGTATAAGAACTTTAACGAGGAGATATGGATTCCACAAACCGAAATGGAGTTCTATCGCTTGGATAACAAGAAGAACATTGAGGATTAAATTCAAACCATCAATCTTTCAAACCTCCCATGCCCACTCAATTTGAGGACACCCTTAGGGTCCTTTCAAAAAGATATTGTCTGATAGGGAAGATTCAAATCTTTGTAATCCCTAAATTTTTTAAAATTTCATTTTAATATGATTTTCCATTTCATTATTAAATGTTGACCAAATATTTGTCTTTTTCTATATTATTCCAAAATATATATAAATATCTAAAACTTCTTAGATAAACTTCTAGATAGTGAGCTCATGCTCTAACTAATCTTCTTAAATTAGTGATGATGTTTTAAGATAAAACTTTCTGAGAAGACTTTTTGATGTTCAGAACCTTAAGTATAGAAAATTGATTGTTCATACATCATACAATGATGATTCATAAACTAGTAGACGTATTTTAAAAACCTTGAGGTGAATTTGGAATAGAAAAGCAAAATAAGGACAATATTAACTAGCGGTGAGTTTGGACTATTACATTTAAAGGGATAATTCTTTTAAGAAAATCGAAGGGAAATAACTTTCGGAAAACCAAGTTTTTCCTAGTTATTTGAGCCAAGTTTTTCATAGTTAATTAAATGGTATGAACTTAATTTTTACAACTTTGATGGAGAACAAAGTTAAAATGAGTTAGGTGGAAAACATATGAAAATGGGAAGAACTTAACTTTAATGAGATGCTAAAGAATAGAACGTGATATGTGCTAGTATCATATGTTAAAATAAATATGGGTCTCCCAATAGAGCTCCTACTTTTTCGCCGGCAAGCTCGAAGAGAAGTCATACGAGTACTTAGTAGTTGGTAGACATAAGGGTCATTCCCTCTTAAAACTTGACACGACATTATGGATATGTTCACCAACTAATCTTTTGTAGATAAAAATTCGGTATTGATCAAATTTATTCCACGATGACCCTAGCAAATCATTCAATATTGGAACTAAAACGAGGTAGCGCCTCATAATTATAAGATACACAGGATCATGACATAGACATAAATAAAGTGACTAACTAATTTTTCTTAAGGATCCTGTACTCAACCGTAATGATCAGATGTGCTCTAAGGAACTTTGTGGTCAAATGTCACATCTATTGGATCGATATGGCAACCTAGAGGGTGAATAGGGTTCTAAAAAAAAGTATTTAAATATGCTTAATTTTTCGAATTATTTAGATCAATTAAAAATCACAATTAATAATTAGCACATCAAGTATAAAAATAATAGTTCTATTCAAAACAATAAATAATTCTCAAAGACTTAGAATAAGGAATAAATCACAATATTAATTTCAAACTTCAATAGTGTTATAAGAGAATATAACACTGTAGCTTTACCGTGGTTCAATCAAACTCGACTTACTCCACTCAATAAGTATCTATTGAGAATTTTGAAAATAATCTTTCTTGACTCTTTCCACACATCAGAGTAAAACTGCTACAAACTCTTTTACGAGTTTAAAATCAAACTCAATTCTTTCTACGACTCAAGATTAAACCATTATAGATGTTGAAATTTTGAAGAATACAACACAACTGAGTTGAAGAGTAGATGTACAATTTGAATACTCAAAACAATATCCTCAAAATACAGTATAACTCTCTCTAAAAATAAGATTAAAAAATAAAAAGTGAAAGTTTGGAGAGATAAAGGAACTCTAGAAAAGTATAGAATTCAAGACAGATAAAAATTGTGCATAATTAGGGAGATTAGGACGAGTTTAAAAAGGAAGAACGAGTAGCAAAAATCATGGTATAAATGGTATATTTCATGAAATTATATTGTTGTGAACATATCTAAAAAGATATATGGGGTAGGAGAGGAAGTGACGCTTGAGCAAGTGTTGAAAAGATCCAGAGCTATTAGAGAACCAAATAGAGATGTCCCTTCATTACATTATTTGTTGCTGATGAAGGGGAACCAAAGCCCTTTGATGAGGCCCTAAAGTTGGAGGATACAACCAAGTGGAAGCAACCCATGGATGATGGGATGTCTACACTTCAGAAATGTGTTGCTCTTTCATCTACTGAGGCTTAGTACGTGACAATAGTTGAAGCTGGAAAAGGAGATGATACGAATAATAAACTATCTAAATGAATTGGGCAAGAAGCAGCACGAGAATATTCTTTATACAGATAGTTAGTGTGTCATACAGTTGGTGAGGAACCCGATTTATCATTCAAACACAAAACACAGAAAGCGATACCATTTCACTCTCAGGTTAATGGAAGATGGTGATGTGTTAGGAGGAGATAGAGGGCGCAAAGAATCCAACAAACATGTTGACAAAATGTGTTGATGTTGGAATATTAAAATTGTGCAAAGCCTCAATTGGTACGGTGCAGTGAAGATTGATTATCAAACTCTTGTTGACTAGATCAGTCTCCAAGTAAGAGATAGTTGGAGTTGACTGGCATATATAAGCTTTCAAAATGTACTATCTTTGTTCTCTGTATTCTCTCTTAGTGTACATTCTGAAATCATCAATAAAACCTGTAGCCGATATTCTTCTTTGAATTATTTTCTCTCATGTTCTTTATGTTAATCTTAATCGAGTGTGTGCATTGTTGTGCGATCCTAACACAAACTGAGCAACTTAATCAAATCACTGAAGATATAGTACGAGCATATGCGTTACTTTCGAGTGAGCTAGGATATACACTTGCACTTAGATCAAGTTTTCCTTCTGGCGAGCCACGTGTCAACCGGAAAGAGGAGATAAATGGCTTGGAAACCAAGGCAACATGTGTCGACAGCGAAGTGGAGAAATGCGTTGGACGCCGCATGGAGCAATGCGATTCTACCCGATCGATGACATGCGGCCTCTGCAGTCTGCACACTCGATTCAACCCGCACCCATGTCCGACCCAGTTCAACCCGATGGATGCTCTGACCTGAACCATGTGTGCCACACGTCAACGTAAGGAAATTCAGAATTCCAGCACGTGCCTCCAGATTCAAACCCATGCACTCGTCCTTCTCCCTCAGGAGCGTCCGTTCATGCGCGTGGACATCTCTCTGTCGCATGGAAGCACTTGTTGCGCGCGTTAGGGTCAACTTTCGACCCGTTCGACTTATGTTTGCCCAATTCTCATCCTGGTTCCAGGTCTAACCATATTTTTATGGGAATTAAGACCTAATTAACGAAAACTAATATTTTTGGACAGCTTATATGCGTAGAAACGCTAAGAGAAAGGGCATGCGTCAATCATGTAAGTCACCGTACGAATTTTTATGAAGAAATACTTGTAGGAATCGCTTGGATATATGCATGTTAGTATGTTCACCTTAGATGGTAGATTTTCTAGAAAATGATTTTTGGTAATATGAGTGTGGATGCATAATGTGAAGTGCTATGAGAATGTATTCATGTGTTATGTTTCCGATATATATATATATATATATATGTATGTATGTATGTATATATGTGTTTATTTCATTTTGAAATGAGGATGAGAATTTGTGAACTCTGCGCTCCGTGTGTCGAGGGATGTTATTGTCCTGTTGAGCATGAATGTGTCAACATATACTAGGGTCTCTATCATTGATTCATATCGTGAGATCATGTAAGACCTCGTGATAAGAGTTTGTATTCGGATTCATTTATTTTAGTTTAGTTTAACTTAATTTTGATGAAGCAAATTAGCTGATTTGTGTGAGAGGTTAAGGGTGAAGACTTAAGATCTTCTGCCTAAACATTTTTTTTTTTTGGGTTGTCGATAGTGGTAAAATTATTGGTGTCGATTGGCCTTTAAAACAATTCTATGATTTTTTAAATAATTATTATTTTAAGTCAATTGTTAAATAAAATTATAAAAACACAATAAAATTTCAGGTGATTTATTTTCATACAACATCATACTCAAAATGCAAAACAAGAAACAATACAAAAAAAACCTATGGTTCAAGTTTTTCACTGAGTATAACTTATTTACTAAGTGAGTATAACTTTTAAGATAATTCCTATTTTTCTTTCCTTTTCAAGTTCTCTCATGTTGTTGGTCGAGGTGGAGGAACGTACGAGAACTGTGCGGTCACAGAAGAGGTCGTTTCGGAGCGTCAGTCCGTTTTCAGTCGTTTTGGAGTCATTTTTTTTTTCTTTTATATTTATATCCCCATTGTAATATTCCTCTTTTTTCTTTTATTTTAATTTTATTGAATATTTACCTTTTATTTTACTTTTCTTTTATTTTTGTTTGTTATTGTCTTCTTTTTAGGGTCCGAATCTTGGAAGTCTCAAAAACTAAGCCGTGACATGATCCCTAGATTTACGGGTCCATTTTAAACTTTAGAGCGCATAGGTAAACTCTTTCGTTAACTTTAGGGTTCTTGGATAAGTCTTTCTTCCATTAAATTCTATTTAATTAGCCAAACTTGTACCGATTAATATTTTGAGTAGATTTTCTGAAGAAATCTTGAGCAAGCGACACAAGAAAGTCGATCAACGAAGCATAAAATAGAAGGGGGAAGGAGAACTACAGCAAGCGCATATCATTAATAATAAAATCGAAACTATCAAATTGATTCATCGTTCATAATTGAATAATGTAATATAGGAAGATCTTTTATCCATACCAAATTCAAACAAAGTGAGATTCTTCTGCACAACTTTCATATCTAATAGGTGTATCAAGAAATAACCATATCATTTATAACATAACCTCTTATATGAAAATAGTCCTTTAAAACTTCATCATAAATCAATGTCATGAAATTACATATTTAAGAAAAAGTCTTTTAAGAAATACAAACGAAATATTAAATAAAACAAAGTAAATATTAAAATGACAACACACTATATTAATATAAGGTCTAAGAATTTAAATGCAACTATCCTACGCATGTGTCATGGTCTTTACTTGTGATGTCGTCGTCAGTCCTACAAGGGTGTCTTGCCTTTACCTAAAAAATAGAAGTAGCACATGGCTTGAGTATTTAAAAAAATACTCAGTAAGTGACCCCACTATTGGAGTTCGGGAATGCAAACACATGCAACTCATGATTA